CCGCTCTTTGATACACAGTTTTTAAAGCATCCTCTTTGATCCACAAATAAAATACCAAACCAAAGAATAATTTTTATCAAGCAAAACCTTAGGGAAGAGGAATTGGATCAAACATGAATCATCATACTGATTTTCACTGAAATAATTTATTTAACAATTCATAATTTCCTACATTTCTTCACGCACATCTACATTCACAGCCACAAAAATTGGGGAAAGGCAACTCCACTGTCTGGAGCAGAGGCAGATGGTTTGATATTTTATTGATAGATCATGAAGGATGCTTTTAAACCAGTTTCTCCACCAATATTGAGCCAGACGACTCTTTCTCTAGTTGAGTACCAGATGAAGCAGTTGGCTTGCATTTATCTTTAAACACTGAACTCATTTATCACAAGGAGAGCCTTGCAGAATATGAGACTGACTGAGGGAAGAGAAACGGTGGACTGTCTCCAGAACTATTTAAAAGATTCTTATTCTCTTTGTGTTTTATGAGCACATAGAATTGAATGTGCACAAGCTAAATGCCTGTATGATAGACTGTCACGGGGTAGTTACAGGTGTCTTTTTAACAATGTAAATAATGTATTTTTCAGGAGGAAGAAAACAAAACATAGACGGCAGATTTCTATTAACCAAAGAGGATATTTTATTCAAGTTTGACATTTTTAAGAAAGTAAGTTGGCCTTGTTTTTTCTCAAATTGATAAGACTGTTTTTATCACCTAGATAGACTCCTAGTTGGTCTTCAAACTTTTGAACTCTGATGGACAAGGAAGGTATTTGCTCTATTTGATGATCTGTTTTTGTTGTATATCTCACCCTCAGTAGACTACAAAGCAGATTTAGAGAAAGAAAAGCAGTAGTAACAATTATTTAGAATTGAATGAATGAACAGTTTCTTTTTTCTAATCACTGTGTTAACATTTTCTTTTAGAAGAAGCATGTTTTAAGCTATAAATCTCATACAGTAGAAGATGGTGGAACTGATAATCCTGCTTTCAACCACATTGAATTGAACTTAACAGATCAAAGTGGCAAGATCAATGGGACTCATTTGTGAAGCAGCCGTAATACTAGATGATCGTACAGTATCCTAGTTTTACATGTTTTCTAACATAATTGGATCAGGTTTAGACTTTTTTTTCCCCCCCTATCACGAGCGTATGGGGGGACACTTTTGGGGGGATATGTTTTTGTGAAAGTCCTGACTTTTTCACTTAACTACACTTATTAATCAATGCTACTCTGAAGTTAAGAGTTTCAGCATCAGCATTTCCATTTCTCTTTTATTACCTTAAAGCTGTGATTGTGAAAGTTATGACTACATATATGCGCTGAAAAGGCTAATACACACATACTTGATGGTCATAAGCATATTAAATTCAGGCATTATTACAAATATTTACCAAGCATTTGGTGCTATCATATAAGTTTAGAGGCTTGCCAGAATTGTACCTAATATCAAAAAGAGCTTTTCTCCCTCCTACTACATACTCTGTTCTTAGGGAGCAATGAGGCGACCCACCTGTGTTGTGTATGTCTTTGCATCTCATCAACCCTATTAGCCCAGGGCACATATTAGCCTTGGAACAAATTCTGGCTCAAGAATGAGGTAAGCATCATGTTTAAGACAGAACGTGGGCCCAATGATCAAGGTCTTGGTTATATGCATCTATTCTTGTGCTTTTTTGCTTATTTTCTAAGGTTCCTGGCTACTGGCTGCTTATATTGTTTTTCTTCGACTCTGGTTCCTATCTGCATTCTTAGTTTCCGACCCATCAACTTTGATTTTGTTGTGCACTTTACCTTTACTTGCCTTTCTAATTTCCTGTTTATTGTCTTCGGCATGCACATGTCTTAGACACCCTATGTGAATCATGCTAACCCATATCCTGGTTCACTAAGCCCAAGCCTCTACATTATAAACAGCCATGAGCCTGATACTGACTAAAGTACTTTCAACATAGGTACTCATGGATTTGGTGATCCAAGAACATTTACATCATTTAAATGGTTAAGTTTCATGGAGTTAGATGATTATATTGAATGCTATTAAGTTGTATTTTTGAATGTCAACTACTTTGCAATCAATTAAATTTAATGGTACATATACTTAGAATTCTTGAATTCTAGTATAGTCACCTAGTTAAAGAGCTAAATTACATAGGCAAACACTATTATTTTTATTTTCTATTCTGGAATTACTAAATATATGCTTCGTTTCATATTATAAAATTTCAAGTCTCAAAGTTTATTTTGTTTATTTTGCTTTGATAAGGCTTTCGTCAATAACTTTTTTTCTGTAGTACCCACATTAGATTTTGTTTAGAGGTTTTTTTTAGCTTTATGATGTTTTAAAATAGTAATTTAAGAAATACTTAGGTACATTATAATATTTTATAATTACATAATTTTTTGCTTATTTTCTGATTTTTAGTTAATCATGCTCTGTACATTTAGAGGTTGCCAATTGAAAACATTAAGAAATAAAAAATAGGAAGTAGCATTTATCTAAAGCAAAGAGATTTATATAGTTTAAATTAGCCATGTATTCATATATTCATATGTGTATGGATGTTATTTTTAATTAATGTATTTGTAAGCATACATCGAACTTTGTAAATCTTTCCATAATGTTTTAATGAGTAAGAAGATACAATCTTATTTGTTTTATGTGAGTGTGATTTGAACTATTGTTATTTATTTAATAATTTTAAATGCATAAATATGTAGAATTCTTCAATTTTGGAAATCAAAATCAGGTTATTTAAATAATTTTTATCTCTTATCTGATTGCCAAGTGTTTTTGCAATGTATTCTTTTTTTCCCTTGACTTTTTTTCATTCTGGCTTCTAACATTTTATGTTTTGGCAATGTATTCTTAATGAGAGATATGGTACATACATTCTTGTCTACTTTCTTTTAACAAAGTATACATTTGTGATATTACGAACCATTTGTATTTTACTTTTAGAAACACGTAAGAGTGCCAGATAAAATTCTTAAGAAATCAAAGTGATGTTATTGTTAAACATTTTATTTTATTTAAATCTTTGGGCAAAATCATATAGAGATAAAATGTTAATATATTATAATGTAAATTAAGCAATCTAATGTATTTAATTATTTTTAATCACAATAACCGTAACAGGAGGGAAGAGCCACGCAAATTGTCTATTTTTATTTTGCCACTGACGAATTGTATGACCTTGACTTTATCCTTAATCTCCTCTAATGATGGAACATAACACTAAATACTTACCTACCTCACAGAAATACTGTGAGTATAGAAGATCAGACAGCACTTTATTAACTCAAATAGCGTTATTTAAAATTTCAATATGTTTGAGAATGAAAATTTGAGACCAAAGTCATTTGCTAGTTTAAAAAAAAAGACAATCTGTTAATAATTTGCAATGTAATAATGTTGAGATAGTTCTTTCTCTAAAATATATGTGCCATTAAAATATATTTAGAAATCAGGATTATTCTACCAGAGAGAATGTAAACTTTAAAGAAAACTATAGGCCAATCATATTCACTCCATAGAGAAATGAAAGTTTTATATATAGGATATAAAACAGTATAAATGTATATTCATTTATTTAGTTGCTTATTATGGAGTCATTTTCTCTCTAGACCAATGGTTCTCAGTGGGGCAATTTTGTACCTCAAGGGACATTTGGAAGTATCTGGGTACATTTTTGGTTGTCACAGCTAGTGAGACGGTGCTAGTAGATAGGATTCAGGGATGCTGCTAAACTTCCTGTGATGCATAGGGCAGCCCCTCTTCTCCACAACAAAAAAATGGTCCTGCCCTCAAAATCGATAGTGGTGAATCTGAGAAATTTGAGAATCTGAGAAATTCTACCCTAGGAGGTAAGGTTGCAATCTAGATTGTCCAGAAGTCACACACCCTGGTTATGTTCCTTTAAGGAGATTGCCATGACTCTTCTGTCTGATCTTTCTCATCTACAGATGTAGAGTAAATGTCGCTAGCATATGGAATATTACGATGCAGAACAATGACCATGTATGTCCACAGCATTTAAAAAATATTAAGGACTATAGAATTGTGAATAATTATGAAAACAACTTTTAAGAGGGTTTTGTTTCCCATTGTGATTTCCAACATTAAGACACATTGGAATGAAGGAAATATTAAGTATACGAATATGAAGATTTCACAATATTGTTTTAATTATAAATACCCTAGAAAGTATAGTTTATTGTTAACAGCTGAGTGTCTGTCCATGATGTAGATACAGGGGTCAGGGATGGAAGCTGAGATGGGGGAAGTTACTCTCTGTTCTTATGGGAAATTCTGCGTTTTTTCCAATAACAATAGTTGATACTAAGTCAACTGAGTACATGATCATTTTTAGTTACTAAAAATTCACAGTAAAATTTACTTTTACATTTAAGTTGTGTGCCCATTGTTTGTGAAAAAAAATGAAGAGACTTGAACATATACTGTAAAACATGGTTGTATTTCTAATTTTTCAACTTGCTAAATAAACTCTCTACAAGTGTCTTTGCAGTCTTCTGTTCTTGGGACAAATGTCAAATTGAATATAATTAATGAAGGTAAGAGTTAGGTTCTCAAACCCCTGGAGTAGAAATGGATTCCAGATGCTGAAAAGGTTAGAGGGAAGCAATGAGAGTTAATATATTCGTGAGTCTCTGCGGAAGGGTCTCTGAGTCCTATTCCGTGTGCTGGGCCCTGGGATGGCCACAGCAAATCACCATAGGTTTGTGGAATTTGAAAATCAACAAAACCTGTGCCTTTTTCTTGGTTAGAGCTTCGAGCCACAAGATCCCAATAAATTCATAGCTGAGTGTTATATCTGGGCAGGCATGTGGCCTTTGGGGTGTTAGAGAGGCTACCATGTTTCATGAGCACAGAAGCAAAAATTGCTAAATGAGGTATCCAGGCAAATAGGAATTTAGCCTCACAGTTTGAACCTAGTGAAGCAGAAGAGCAGCATGACATAGGAAGGAAACCCATACGGGAATTAGGCGCAAAAAGGCTGAGACCTATTTAGTCTGAAAATCAAGGATTTTATGGTTTCTGAACACAACATGAATATTGTATATTATAATCTTAGACAACTAAAAAATCTAATCAGATGGGGAGTGGTGATGGGAGAGAGAACTATTCTCTTTTTATAGCACGTAGTCAATACTATAGCTAAAAATTGGTTTCAACCTCTTAATGCTTTTTGTGATCTCTTAAACATCAACACCTGTGTTCACTGCTGTATTCTTAGCATGCAGATCAGAATATGGTCCAGTAAGTATTTGCTGAATGAATGAATCCATACAATTCCTGCCTCTTAGAGTTTTTATCCACCTTTTTGCTTGCTTGTTTGTTTTTAAATGAGTGTCATAGGTTTGATTCCCTGGGAAGCAGAGTCTAAGATGGAGTTTAATATGTTTAACATTTATGAAGGAGTGTCTTTATGGTCAACACCTGCAGAAGGAAGATGACGGAAGCAGGTTTGGGCAGAGGTAGAGGTTGAACTGGAAAGCAGATCCAAGGACAATCTTCTCACAGAGATTGAACTGAGAGGAGCCCTTCAGAGTTATCTCAAGGTGGGCCAAGTTAGCCAGGCTTTCATATTCCTGCATCAATTAGTCACTGATGGCTGTCACGGGAAGGGGAGTGGTCTTGGACCAGGTGATCTCTGCAGTGAGACACTCAAGAAGGGGCAGAGAGAGGAAGGCTCCCTTGCCAATACCATTCCCAGCGGCTGGAGCGAAGCATCCTTCCCTGAAGGGGGATCTCTGCAGTGTCCTACGGTGTCCACTTCATGAAGTAACTGCATTTTAGAGAATTTAAATCACTTGTTTTTTCTGAACTTAGTTTCGTCTGACTCCAGAGTCCATAATCCTAATATTTTTGTTCCACTGTACATATTGGTGTAAGCTCACTCCTAAACTGCTGAGAGTGGGAGCTGGAGTTAGTAGGACTTCTTGTCAGGTTTTTGGGCTAATACAAAGTGCAGGTCAGAGTGAAGAACCTTTGTATGGCACTGACCTAGTCTTTTAAGAAAGGCCCAGTGCTCTTCTCAGCTGGGTATCTGCAGTAACAGTACTTCATACTGTATGTTGTGATTAACTGATACTGCTATCGTTTGAAATTGCTACCCACCTACCTTTTGACTAGGGTCTATTCTCTAAAATATTATACGGTCAGGTAAAACTGATCAAGTTCAGCTTGAATTGTAGAGTATATTAAAATAATTCAAATTATGGCAAATATTAACTAGATCGTAGTTTTCAGAGCGTTGCCCAACTAACAGTATCAGCACCACCTGAGTACTTGTAGCAATTGAAATTCTTGGGCCCACCTTAGACCTCCTAAATCAGAAATGGCGGTGGTAAGGGTCCAGGTGATTCTAATGCATGCTAGAGTTAGAGAACTGCCGGGCTAAATAATGATAATTAGGAAAAACAAACTGGGTTTATGATTAGCAAATAAACTATATAAATGATTTGTTTGAAAATGGTTTGAATATTTACTCTATTCGATCACAGCATTTGCTTTGCATATTGGACCTCAGCCCTTCCAAATGATCACTGCTTCTAATTAGTGAAATCTGAATTAATGACTGTTAAAATTACCTCCTTGTGGACTAATTCTAGACAGGCTGATGCAGCTGTGCATGGGGTCCCATGGATAACAGCTTTTTAGTATTTACCTCTCCATGCCAGATGAATGGGATCCAAATTGAGTACATTATGTATATAAAATCAGTCATACAATAGGAACATTGTTGAGCAAGCCTGCCTTAATTTTTTTGTCATTGAAATATTATAAAATTGGTATCTAAATCCAGACAGCCAGTTGGCAATCTGGGGGAAATTAGTGTCCTTGCTGGGGAAAAAACAATAGCTGGCACTTAAATGAGTGACTTTAATTTCTTCACTCAAGTAGATTATATAAAGAGCCAAGTGTAAGACTCTAGTCTTAAGACACTTGGCTCTTTCATGTTGAAATAGATTTACAGGAAAATGAGTTTAAATTGATTGCATGCTATAAGTAAAATCTCTTTTAGATTCTTTTTTTTTTTTTTTTAAGCACTGAAAATTTGCCTTGTAGGCATCACACTCTGTTAGGCATTGGGGAAGGTGAGGGTGGGGTTCTTGACCTCTATCCCTTACAAGCTGTCTGAGGATATAAGACAGATATGCTGTACTAGCTAAAGAGAGAGTCCGAGTGGGGCGATTGTGCAATAGGAGAATTCTGATCAGAGAGAGCCCAGTGGACAGGACTTGCTGGGAGATGTACTTGGTGGATAGTTGGAGTTTGAGCTAGACCTTGAAGCTGGTGATGATCTGAATAGACAAAGAAGAGAGAAAATATGTTTTGTCAGGAAGTGTGGGCATGGAGGGGAGAGTATAAGCAAAACTTTGGAAGGAGCGAAGGAGTGTGCTCTTCTGGGGGACGTGAAGAAATGGACCTGGTTAGCATGGAGTTGGAACTGATGCGGAAGAAGTTTGTGTGAGTAGCCAGCTTTGAAGGCCAGGATTCAGAGTTAGGACTTTGACCAGAACTTCCCTGAGAATCATTCAAGGTTTGGCAATGTTGAATCTAGGAGAGTTTGCTGCCTGGCAGGGGCGTTTGCTATATTCTCAATATGCCTGTACTGTATATTACTAGAAAGTGTATGGTACATTTATAGAAAGATTTCAATTTAAAAATATCGGGTAAAATAAAAAGTTGCCAGTTTCAAGATTAATCCCTCCACCTTGCTAATTATTTGGATAACTTTATATCCAGAGTCACTACTTTCATGAGGGATCCAGACAGCCAAGTTTTTAATGAAAATTATAGTGTAGAAGTAGGATATTTCTAATATTTGAGTCTTATGAACATTCATAAGATTAGGTAGATTAGAAAATCCTCAAATTATGGCATACTCATTATTAATGATATTTAAAATATTCCACAATCAAGACAGGGAAACAAAGTTCATCATAAAATTATTCTAATATTTTGATTATATTGTTTTTGCATGTATTTATCCAATAAACAATCTCTTTTATTGAGATATAATTGACATGCAGCACTGTATAAATTTAAAGTATACAGCAAATGATTTGACTTAAATATATTGTGAAGTAATTACACAGTAAGTTTAGTTAATATCTATCATATAGGTACAAATGAAGAAAAAAGTTTTCCTTATGATGAGAAATCTTAAATCTACTCTCTTAACAACTTTCAGATATACCATACAACAGTGTTAACTATTATGGCCATTATATTTTACATTACATCCCTAGTACTTATCTTTTTAAAATGAGATCTAATTGACATACGCTATATTAGTTTCAGGTGTTCTACATAATAATTTAATATTTGTATATATTGCAAAATAATCACCACAGTAAGTCTAATTAGCATTCATCACCAGTTATGTTTTTTCTTATGATGTGAACTTTTAAGATCTACTCTCAGCAACTTTCAAAGCTACAATACAGTATTTACTATAGTCACCATGCTGCATATTACATCCCCGAGACTTATTTATAACTGGAAGTTTGTACTTTTTGACCACCTTCATCTGCATCTCCCCCTTCCTTTGACTACAAAATTTGGTCTCTGTATCTATGAGGACAATTTTTGTTTAGCTTTGCTTTTTTTTTTAAGATTCCACATGTGAGATCGTACCCTATTTATTCTCTATCTTATTTCATTTAGCATAATGCACTCAAGGTCCACCACTGTCACAAATTCCAAGATTTTCTTCTTTTTTATGGCTGAATATTTCTTTGTATATGTACATATAGATCACATTTTCTTTATCCATTCATCCATCGATGCACTTAGATTGCTTTTATGTCTTGGCTGTTATAAATAATGCTGTGATGAACATAAGGGTGCAGATATCTTTTTGAGTAAGTATTCTTGTTTCCTTTGGATAAATACCCCGAAGTGGAATTGCTCAGTGGTCCTCAATTTTTTGGCACCAGAGACCGGTGTTCCTATGAGAATCTAATGCGTGATGATCTGAGGTGGAGCTGAGGCGGTGATGCTAGCGCTGGGGAGCAGCTGCAAAAATACAGATGAAGCTTCACTCACCCTCCCCTCCCCTCCTGTTATGCAGACCGGTACCGATCCATAACCTAGGGGTTGGAGACCCCTAGGGGTCTCCTGAAATTGCTAATTCAAATTATAGTTCTAGTTTTAATTTTGGAAGAACCTCCATAATGTTTTTCTATAGTGGCTGAATCAATTTACATTACCATCAACAGTGCACAGGAATTCCCTTTTTTCCACATTCTTGCCAACACTTATTTCCTTTTTGATAATAACCATTCTAATAGATGTGAGGTGATATCTCCTTGTGGGCTTGATTTGCATTTCACTGATTAGTGATGTTGAGTGTATTTTCACTTACCTGTTGGCAATCTGTATGTCATCTTTGGAAAAATGTCTATTCAGATCCTCTGGTCAATTTTTAATTGGATTTTTTGTTATTGAGTTGTATGAGTTCTTTATATATTCTAGATATTAACACCTTATCAGATATATGGTTTGAAAATATTGTTTCTATTTTTAGAAGATTTGAAATTTTTATTCTTATGTTGTCTTTCAGTTTTTGATCATTTCTTTTGCTGAGCAAAAGCATTTTACTTTGATGTAGTCCCATTTATTTTTGATTTCGTTGCATGTGCTTTAGGTGTCATATTGAAAAAAATCATTGCTAAGACCTATATCGAGGATCTTTTTTCCTATGTTTTCCTCTAGTTTTATGGTTTCCAATCTTACATCCATTTCAAGTTAATTTTTGTGAGTGGTATAAGAAAGGGGTCTAGCATCATTCTTTTACATGAATTGTTCCAGCATGAGTTATTGAAGATACTGTGTTCTCTCCATTGCGTATTTTTGACTCTCTTGGCAAATATTAGTTGACTGTATATGCATCAATTTATTTCTGGGCTCTCTGGTTTGTTCTCTTGGTCTATGTGTCTGTTTTTAAGCCAATACCATACTGTTGGTTATTATGGGTTTTTAATATAGCTTGAAATCAAGAAATGTCATGCCTCCTTTGTTCATTTTTCTCAGAATTACGTCTACTATTCAGGGTCTTTCGTGGTTCCATATACATTTTAGGATTTTTTTGTACTTCTGTTAAAAATGCCGATGGAATTTTGATAGGAACTGCATTAATCTGCAGGTAGCTTGGGGAAGCATGGACATTTTTACAATTTTCACTCTTCTAATCCATGGACACAGAATATTTTTCAATTTATGTCTGCAATTTCTTTCATTGCTGTCTTATAGTTTTCAGCATAAAGATCTTTCACCTCCTTAGTTAAATTTATTTGTATTGTTTTTGTTGCTATTGTAAATGGGATCGAGATCATTTGTTAGTGTATAGAAATGCTATTGATTTTCTGTTAATTTTGTATTCTGCAACTCTACTGAATTTTATTAGTTCTAGCAGGTTTTTTGGGTAGAGGATTTTCTATATATAGAATTGTGTCCTCTGAAAATTAGAAATTTACTTTCTTTGCATTTCTGATGCCTTTTATTTCTTGCTTGATTGATCTAGCTATGCTTCTCATACTATGTTGAATATGAGTTGTGAGAATGGACTCCTTTGTCTTAGAGGAAAATCTTTCAGCTAGGATAGTCATATGTGGCTTTTAGTATGTTGAGGTATATTCCTTTATGCCTAATTTGTTAAGAGGTTTTATGAACAGATGTTGGATTTTGTCGAACCTTTTCTGGATCTATTGATATAATCCTACGATTTAAAAATTTTTTATTGTGATATATCACATTTATTGATTTGTGCATGTTAAAACTTCTTGCATCCCAGGGATAAATCCCACTTTGATCATAGTAAATGATCCTTTTAACATGCTGCTAAATTGGGTTTGCTCCTATTTTATCGAGAATTTCAGCATCTTTATTCATCAGGAACGTTGGCCTCTGACTTTATTTTCTTGTAGTGTCTTTTTCTGGCTTTGGTATCAGGGTATTGCTGGCCTCACAAAATGAGTTTGGAAGTACTCCATTTTTTGGAAGAGTTTGAGGATTGACATTTTTTAAATGTTTGGTAAAATTCACCAGTGAAACTATTTAGTCCTGGGCTTTTCCTTTTTGGAAGAGTTTTGATTACTGATTTAATCTCTTTACTAGTAATTAGTCTGTTCAGTTTTTGTTGTTGTTCGGATTTTCTATTTTTTCATGATTTAGTCTTGGTAGGTTGTGTTTCTAGGAATTTATCTATTTCTTCTGGGTTGTCCAATTTGTTGGCACATAATTGTTCTTAGCAGCCTCTTCTGATTCTTTGTATTTCCATGGATTCAGATGTAATGTCTCCTTTTTCATTTGTAGTTTTGTTAATTTTGGTTCTCTCTTTTGTGCTTAGTTTAGCTTTGTCAATTTTTTTTATCTTTTCAAAAAGCCAACTGTTTGTGTTTTTATAGTTTTTCTCTTCTCTATTTATTTATGCTGTAATCTTTATTATTTCCTTCCTTCTGCTAAATTTGGGCTCAGTTTGTTCTTGTTCCTTATGGTGTAGAGTTAGGTTGTCTATTTGAGATGTTCCTTGTTTATTAATGATTAATATAGGCATTTAAGGCTATAAACTCTTGGAAATGCTTTAACTGCAGCCTATAAATTCTATTATGTTGAATTCTATTTTTTGTTTCTTTCAAGATAATTTTTAATTTTCTCTTTAATTTCTTTTTTGATCTATTGTTTTTTTTCAGGAGAGTTGTAATTTCCACAAACAAACTTCAGAGATGTTGTGGATTCAGATCTAGACTACCACAATAATGCAAATATCACAATAAAGCAAGTCAAATGAATTTTTTGGTTTCCCAGAGCATTATAAAAGTTACGTTTACAATAAACTGTAGTCTATTAAGTGTGCAATAGCATTATATCTAAAAAATGTACATACCTTAATTAAAAGCATTTTACTGCTAAAAAATGCTAACACCTGAGCCTTCAGTGAATCATAATCTTTTTGTCTCACTGAATCAGTGGAGGGTGTTACCTTCAACTTGTAAAGTACACAGATCTATGAAATCCAATAAGCAAAGCATAATAAAACAATGTATGCTTGTATTGGTGAATTTTCCTATTCCTATCCTGTTACTGATTTTTAGTTTCATACTATTGTGGTCAGAGCAGACACCTGGTATTTGAACCTTTTTGAATTTGCTAAGAATTCTTTTGTAACCTAACATATGGTCTATCCTAGAAAATGTGAACCCACAGCCCAAATGAGGCAGTGTTTGATGGATGGGTGATGGGTAATGAGAGTGCTGTCCTCTCCCCAGCTGGCCTAGGAAAGTTGATAACATGGTTCAAGGGCAGTTCTACAGTCTCTGGAAGAAGAGTAATTACAACAGGCTTTGCTTAGAAACACTTTTCCCAGACAGACAGACCCTTTCTCAAGCTTAGAGTATACCAGCAGGCAGGATAATCAAAAGCATTGTAAGTATCACTGGCTATATTTCACATTTCCTCAACAAAGTGTGTCAATGGCATTCTTCAAGCTCTTCTGAGTGATTTCTAATTGGTCAGCTTAGTATCCTAAGAAGATAGCATGGAAATGAGATGGAAAAGGTGGGTTAGGAAGAAAGTTTCTCTGCAGGGCAAAGCAATTTCTGAGGGGTGTTTGGGAGTGATGGACCTTTCTTTAAGGATCCCGCTGTGCTGTGATTCCTGTTATTCTATGAGAAGGAAATACAACAGAATTTCAGAAGACCCAGCTGCAAATATTCCATGTGCATAAATTTATTTTAAATTTTATTGCATCACATTATACAAGCATTAAACATGGCTTCATGTTGATGACTATTTAAATGTGAAAATTCATCATTCACGTCAGTACCTTTTGGCTATTTACAAGTAAGGAATTTTTATGTACTTTATATATCTCTGTATTTGTATGTACATATGTAAGAATACATGACTGTACATATGTACACACAGAAATCTATGGCCATACAGATAGCTATAGATATGTCATATATAATAATCTCAGAAAGATCTGAAATTAAAAAAAAAGAAAGTTGTAAACAGGGTCCTGTTTGTATTGTTTGGTGACATGGAATTAGGACCATATGATGACATTCTAGGAATGTGTGTCCAGGTGTCCACATCCCCTTTTTAGCCCAGTGTCTGTAAAATTCACATGGGATAGAATGCAAAAAAGGTAGCAAACAGGCTGAAAAACAGGTCCAGTATACAAGTTCCCCGTGGTTTTAAAAACTTGAGAGTGTAACTGCCCATGATGTGCATGCTTGCCTGGTCAGGAATGGTCTATGAACAGATAGCAAGTGTGTGCAGGACTGCAATGTGACTTCCCAGGCAGTCCTTTAAGACCCCCTGCTGCTGCCGATGTCTGCGACATGCACTGCGGTTGCATTTTAGTCATTCACGTGAATGTGCTTTTGCACAGCCAAGAGAAGTAAACAGAATTCAGGTCCTTGGACTGGAAATGAACAATTACCTAGAAAGAGAAAAGAAGGCATTAAACTCCTGCGTATGCATGACAGCTTAAGAACACACTGTGCAATGGTTTGTACTTACCATGAATCAAAGGCATTCAAGGAATTTGTAACCCCAAACTGAGTCATGTATATTATAAATATTATTGTGCCTACTTTACAGACTGAATCAGAGAGGCAGCCTGAAGTAAGGTGACATCCTGCCAACTGTCGGGGGAATAGAGACAGACAGGCAACACTACACCTTTAAGCAAAAATTAGAAATGGCCTCATTAGGGAAAAAGCAGCCCATAACAATAAGGCCAGAAGAATCTCCCAATTGGTTACTGGCCGTGCAGCCCAGCGAACCTGAGATGTGGATAATGCCACTGCCTGTGCCTTGGTCTCTGGCCACTGGAGCTCCCAGGAGCAATTCTTTTCACTGATGTCTGCCTCCTATGCCAACCAAAGCGATAGTCAGCCTTTCTCCTCCAAAGGCTGACCAGAGCCAGAAGAGAACATCAGAATGGGTACGGGGACTAGGGACATGCAGTAAATTATAGAATCCCAGAAGGTTAAAGCAGGACAGGCTCTTAAAGTATTGTTCAGTCCAACTCCTTTACTTTTGCAAATGTATCATTTCCATATGAATGTTCAACCCCAGGTCATATAGATAGAGAATGCAAAAAGCCAGGTCTAGAATCTGGTGGACTACAACACAGTGCTTAACAATACCGATCCCGTATAATATTCTACAGCATTTTATTGTTTTGTAAATGTTTCACATACAGTGCCTATATGAACTGCATGTTAGTTCTGCCAAATAAGCAGGCTCAGAAAAATTAATTTTCCCAAAGTCACATAGCCAAATAGCAGACCTGGGAAATAGCAAAATGCTAAGTAGCGAAACATTTCTTGCCTTTCGAAAGGCCAAGGTCTACTTTGGAATTGAGAGTAGGGCCTCTGGGCCTGGAGTCTAGGTGACTGCCAAGTCTACCTTCCTATCCAACTTATAGTAAGTCCTCCTGGACTCTTATCACAGATCTGGCTTGATACAATTTCACTAATTTAACAAACATCTCTGCAGATATCCATCTTAACCTATACAAAAAGTGAAAAATATATTTTTTTCCTTGTATATCTCGTTTTTCTTTTAGAGGCTGAATTTTGGAAAATATTTTCAAAGTTATTCTTCAAACAAGTAGAGAGAAATGAAGGGCAAGGAAAGCAAAAGAAAAGCTACACTTAGATTCACAGAGTATCAAAACTGAGAGCTTGTCTAATCATTCCATCTCTGAGGAGACTGAGGCTCAGAGAAGTTAAGTGTCTTGTCCAGGGACACACAGCTAGTAATTGACTTGCTAAGAGAAGGTTTCAGAAGAACTCTTTGATAAGACATGTGGAAACATTACTGAACTTTCTTACAATGTTTTTAACCTTAATCCATCCAAGCTTTATTAACTGAATGTGCATTTAATGGGTGCCATGTGCTTAACACAGCTAATTGGAGGAAATAAATTACCATCCACAGAATCTTTCCTCAAGATGCTTACAATTGTGCTAGGGAAGCCTGATAACTATTTGAAAATCATAAATTAGCAATGCAGATCAATATATGTCAATACATGTACTGATACAATAATAGAGAAATTTATGAGTAGTGAGTCTTGATGGGCCGATGAGCCTCTTACAGGGTATGGCATGACATGAATTAGCCCGGGAGGAAACAATAAACAGTGATGGAGGGAAGGCCACCCCAGGTGAGATGAAAAGGTGACTTTACCAGAAAGAAAAGGCATGTTGCCCTGAGGATATTAAAGTGAATAGCCAGGCTGGAGTAGAAGGAAAAGGAAGGCTAATTTCAGGGGACACCAGGCTAACTCATGAGACCTTGACTGCTGGGCCAGAGTGTGGCATGGAGGCAAAGAAGAGTTGCGGGAGTTGTATGCGAAGGGAAGATGAAGTTAACTTTGCAATTAAAGTATGAAACAAGCTGGTTTTGGAAGCTTCTGCGGAGTTGTTTTGATCCCTATCAGTAGAACAATGGCAAGCTTTGACTCAGGGAGTTGGAAGCGCCTTCTCCCAATCCAAGAGAGGTTTCAGACCATGAGCATACCTCTCACCAACCTGGTCACGGCCACTCATTGTGGTGTGCTTTTCCGTTTTTCTTCCTCTCTTTTCGTTCCTTCTGGAGACGCTCTAGTTCTGCTTCATACATCATCTCCTGAATCAAGTACTTCTCTCTCCTCATTCGGTCTCTTAGATCTTTTGGGAGGTCTGGGATCAGATATGAAATGAGGTGCTTTATACAAAACACGAGGTGCTAAAAACACAGAGGAGAACACAATAGTCAGGTCTACTGTCCATCCTCAACTGGAAAGAGCTCTGGGGGGTGGTTCACGAACTCTCTTGTTCCAGCAATATGGAGCTTCTGGAGTACCTGGAAAGTAGGCTGAGGCCAGGGGAGGTGGGTATTGGCAAAGAGGATCTCAGAGATAGGCGAGGACTGAACTTGGTCTGATGGTACCACACAGGAGTCAGAAAAGGAGATGGAGAAGAAATGGTCAAAAAATGCAAAGGAGAGTCAGTAGCACGTACACTGCAGAATCAGAAAACCCATCAAAATTTTGTATCTTTTACTAAAGAGCTTTCTGTCTACCTAAGCATAAGTCACTCTGGGCCCCAATTTGCTCATCTATAAAATAAGTATTGTGAAAATTGTAGAAAAATGTTTAAAGATGCTCTGTGGATTGCTAAATGCTCTGCTAATCTGGATTGCAAGAATTATAAATGGGCCTAGGGCTGTAATCATTCAGGAAGAAACTTTTTTTAGCGGGGAGTGGGGTGGGGTAAACACAAATTCTTTGCCCGAAATACTAATACCTGAAACTCTAGAATCACTGTCACTTCTGTTCACCTATATGATGGTGACCACTAAGTACCAGATGACAATTTAAAGGCCCTTAGAATTCTAAAGTATTAAATAAAGATTAATCATGTCCAAATGACACCATTAAGTATTCTTAGTTTTACTGAAATGTTGGTAAATTTGGTAATTCATGGTAGCTTATGATCTTGCCAATTAAGAGGATTTTCTGATATAGTTCTAGTATTTTTAAAAATTACAATATATTGAAAAGGAAAGTTCTACTCGATAAACCAAATAACAATTTAACGCAATGCCTTTCCTATTTTGTTTAAAAAATTTTAAGACAGTGATGGGTTAAAAATTTCTTTAAAGAGGGACTCAGCCATTGACAAGTTAATTCGTAGGGAAGAACAGCTTAGTATTGTCTTCTCTTGGTTCCCTGGAGTGAAGGGGAAAAAAAAGTGATGGAATAGTTTCAAGGAGGTATAGGAAGCTTCTAGTCCAAACCAAAGGGCAGCCTTGGCTTGCATTAATTTGGCTTTAATATATGTGACAGGAGATAAAATTCCTATGAGTACAGTTATAGAAACAAACTATTTTTAGCAGCAGTTTTCTTAAAAGATGAAAATAGATAATATATTTCTATCGACACACAATACATGTAATTACTAGGTAGATTTTGCTTTATAAGTCTATTCTGAGTCTTAGGTCATTAATAGTTATTTGTGTACTTGAACATAAGTAATGTCATGATGATACACAACCAGAAACTACCACTTGTAATACCCAGTTCAATGTTTTCCAAACTATGGTCCTTGAACACCTGCATCAAGATCATCTTGGAGGGCCTGTGAAAGGCAAACTACAGACATGATGGATCAGAATCTTGAAGTGGGACGAAAAAACCACAATTTGCCCAGTGATTCCTGACTTATTAATTAATAATCAACAATAAAGGACTTCCAAATATTTCTTGGAAAATTCAAAGACTTTAATTAAAGGGAAGAAAAAGTTTATAATATCATTATACCACATCTGGACACAAACAATCACATTGAAAGTTCTCAAAATACATTCATTACTGTAGTTACTTCATTGCGTCAAAGGATATAAAGGAATCGGTTGAGAAAACTTACCTCAAACACAATGATAAAAGCCAGGCGAGCAGCGAGGACGTGCCAGAACTGCAGTGTGTAGCCGTAGGGTACCAGTGAATGAGGAGGATCACGGTAGTCTCGGTATCTACAAATGTACAGCACAGGGTTACATTCCAAACTGTGACTGTCTCAACTCCCAAATCGCGTTCATTCCCACAATGTAGCTCTTATTCATGAGAGAAAAGCTTAGAAAGCCTCTGTATACTACTAGACATCTGTCGTTTTAGTTGCCCAGCATTTCTTCTGATAAAAGAATCTCTCTTCTCCTCTGGGGAATCATCTATGTGGGTCGGACAGACTTTGTCCCCTTCCCTGACCCCGACTCTGAACGTAAGCCAGACTGGATCAGTGAGACTCATCACCAGGACTGCTGCTAGGATGATCACTTAGTGAATTATCACTAAGCCCACAGAAAGTTAAAAACCTAGAGCTGCTGGTGGCCATCACGAACTGTAGAGAGCGCCTGGTTGAGAATAAAATCAATAAATCAAAACGGCCAGCAGAGAGGCAGTATCTGGATGACACTGCTGGAGCCTTGAAATCCAGCCAGGTTTCTGGCTTTCCTACTCTCTCAAGTCATTGTACCATAAAGTCAAGTTTCTTTCTAGAGAATTCCTTATTGCTACCTTAAGGAATTAAACTTCGACGACGCCAATGAGTTCGGCTGTCATCTGCTTCGCTGCCTGCAGCTCCAGAATTACTCATTTTGGAAAGCACACTGGAACCAAGTTTGAGGTGTGCCGGACTGATATGATCTTAGGTAATTCATGAAGCTTCTCTGGACATCAGTTTTCCCTGTCATCAAAATTAGAGTCTTCATCTCACCCTGCTCTAAAATTTGGACTCTTTTTTTCTTGTATGATTTTGCAGATGATTGTGGCAAGTGGAGCTCTGTGTTCATGCTCCAGCCTATTCCTGATCCCGCTGGCCTTTCCATGAGGCAGAGTTTCGAGGGAGGGCCATGCTCCGGTGTCATTTGTGCCCCGAGTCTCTGATTTTGGTGCAGTGCTATTTATTTGCATAATGACTGGCTACATGTTCCCTGGTACTTCTACAAAGAAAACACTCCCCTGTTCTGCTGTAAAAACAGCCAGAAGCCAAGCTTCAAAGCCAATTAAATCAAAGTTTTATTTCTCTAATCTTCTAGTTTAGTACCTTCAAAGACACTATGTCACCCAGTGGCATTAGTGTTTGGAGGAATTTTTTCAAGTGAGTCAGAGTTGTTTTCAGAAAGTAACACTTTTCATTTCTTGTCTTCAATTTTACATGAGGGAAAAGTGGGATGTTCCCTTTTGATTTCAGTTAGTGCATTCTCTAAAGCTGCTTTTACTTCTCAGGAAATGGATGACTGCCTTGCAAACATTTTTCTAGCACCAGGTACAGTTAACTCCCATGATAAAAGTGTATATACATTTGACAGAATGATAAGTGAACCTCATGTAACCCCATTCAACTTCAGCCTTAGAACATGGCGAGTGGCTTAGAAATGCCTCCCCGGCGATCTCAGACACGCCGAGAGGTACTGCTGCAGCAATCTTCTGCTTTTCTTTACAGTTATACTACTTATGCAAGTGTGCCTAAATAAAATAGTGCTCAGTTTTCTATGGTTTGAACTCTATATAAATGGACTCATACTGTATGAGTTATCTGTGATTACATCTTTAATTATTATGCAATTTATTTTTGAGTTCTCAATTCTATTCCATTTTCTATTTGTTCACTCTGACACTACTACACAGATTAATTTCTATAATTTTATATTATATCTAACATAAGATAAATCTCTACTTTGTTCTTCAAAAGTGTCTTAACTATTCTTGAGCCTTTGCATTTCCGTATAACATTATTTTGCACAGAACTGGCTTAATCATAATTCTTATAACCTTCTTGGTCTAATATTCTTATTTTCTCTAATTTTTACATTTACTTAATACTTATATAATGAACTCTCATAAATCCACCACGTGACCCAAGAATGAAAACATGACCAGGAACTTATATCTACTACCTTTGTGCTCCTCCATCCCTTTCTCTTCTCTTATCCTGAATTTCATTTTTATAATTAACATATTTACGTATATATGAGTATATTCGTGTTTTAATATTATACTGTATAGCTTTGTTTTTGAAATTTCTAGAAAAGATGTTATACTGTATGTAATCTTTTGAGGTTTGCTTTTTTCCTCACTATCACGGAAGATTCATCCGTGCTGCTGCATGGAGTGAATTTAGTTCCACTGCTATAAAATAGACCCTAGTATGAATATACAGTTGTTGTTTTATGTAGTGTATGTTTAGATTTACACTCACAGGGCTCGTCATTTCTCTTTAACTTCTCTAACCATGTAAGGTCTTGAAAAACAAAGCTCCAGTCTATCCAGTTCAGTAAATGCCCTTTGGATAAAAGTCCCAATCCTCTTCCACTCTGGGTTCCACCTTTATTTACTATTAAATTTTTTTTCTTGCGATGAGAACTTTTAAGATCTGCTCCCTTAGCAACTTTCAAATATGAACACAGTATTATTAACTATAGTCATCAGGCTGTGCATTAGATCCCCAGGACCTGCTTATTTTATAATGAGAATTGGTACATTTTGACTGTCTTCGCGCATTTTCCCCACCTCTCCCACACCCAGTGTTTGGTGACTACCAGTCTGTTCTCTGAATTTATGAGTCTAGGTTTTTCATTTGTTTTGTTTCTAGATTCCATATACAAATGAGATCATACAGTATTTGTTTTTCTCTGTCTGACTTATTTCACTTAGCATAATGCCTTCAAAGTTCATCCATGTTGTCACAAATGGCAGTATTTCCTTTTATTTTATGGCTGAGTAATATTCCATTGTGTGTGTGTATCACATTTTCTTTATCCATTTATCCATCAATGGACACTTAGATCAGGTTGTTTCTGTCACAGACATCATAAATAATGCTGCAATAAGCATGGGAGTGCAGATATCTTTCTGAGTTAGTGTTTTTGTTTTTCTTCAGAAAAATACCCAGAAGTAGAACTGCTGGTTCACATGATAGTACTATTTTTAATTTTTTGAGACCCTTCCATACTATTTCCATAGTGGCTGCACCAATTTACCTTCCCACCAACAGCATAGAGTTCCCTTTACTCCACATCTTCACTAACACTAAAGTTATTTATCACCTTCTGATAATAGCCATTCTAACAGGTGCGAGATGATAGCTCATTGTGATTTAGATTTGCATTTCTTGGTGATTATTGATGTTGAGCAACTTTTCATGTACCTACTTGTCTTCTGTATGCTTTCTCTGGAAAAATGTCTATTCAGATCATCTGCCCATTTTTTAATTGAATTTTATTTTTTTGTTATTGAGTTATATGAGTTCTTTATATATTTTGGATATTCGCCCCTTAACAGATATATGATTTACAAGTAGATTTTCCCCATCTTGTAGGTAGCCTTTTCATTTTTTTGGTTTCCTTTGCTGTGCAGAAGCTTTTTAGTTTGATGTGGTCCTACTTGTTTATTTTTCCTTTTGTTGCCTTTGCTTTTGGTGTCAGATTCAAGAAATCATCACCAAGACCAAGGTCAAAGAGCTTACCAGCTATGTTTACTTTTAGTTTTATGATTGCAGTCTTATGTTCAAATTTTAAATATTGATTAGTCTTATGTTCAAATTTTAAATATATATGGAGTTAATTTTTTTGTATGGTATAGATAGTAATCTAGTTTCATTCTTTTATATGTGGCTGTCCAGTTTTCCCAATACCATTTATTGAAGAGATTGTCCTTTCCTCATTGTATATTCATGGCTCCTTTGTCATAAATAAACTGACCATATATGCATTTATGACCATTTATTTCTGGGCCCACTATTCTGTTTCATCGATTTTTATGTCTGTTTTTATGCCAATATCATACTGTTTTAATTACTACAGCTTTGTAATATAGTTTGAAATAAGAAAGTGTGATGCCTCCAGCTATGGTTCTTTCTCAAGATTGTTTTTGCTATTTGGGGTTTTTTGTAGTTCCATACAAATTTTGGGATTTGTTTGGAATTGTTAAATGTCATTAAGATTTTGATAGGGATTACAATGAATCCAGAGATTTCTTTGGGTAGTATGAACATTTAAAAAAAATTTCTTCCAATACATGAGCATAAAATATCTTTCCATTTATTTGTGTTGTCAATTGATCAATGTCTTATAGTTTTCAGTATATAGGTCTTTCACCACCTTGGTTAAATTTATTCCTAAGTATTTTGTTCTTTTTAGTGCAATGGAAAATGGGATTATGTATTTAATTTCTCTGATAGTTTGTTGTTAATTACAGAAACAACTGATTTTTATATACTGACTTCGTATCTGCAGCTTTACTGAATTTGTTTTTTAGTTCTAACAGTTTTTTGTAGCCTTTAGGGTTTTCTACATATAATATGTCATCTGTAAATAGTGACAGTTTTACTTTTTCCTTTCTGGTTTGTATGCCTTTATTTCTTTTTCATGCTTAATTGCTCTAGCTAGATCTTCCAGTACTGTGATGAATTAAAGTGGTAACTTCCTTGTCTTGTTTCTGATCTTAGAGGAAAAGCTTTCAGCTTTTCACCGCTGAGTATGACATGAGCTGTAGGCTTGTCTGGTAATCATAAGCAAAAATCTAAAGTAGATACACAATATAAAGAGAAAGGAATCTGAGCATACCACTAAAGAGTCATCAAACCACAAAGGAAGAGAGCAAGAGAAGGAATAGAGAAGAACTACAAAACAGCCAGAGAACAATGAACAAAATGGCAATTGGTACACATTTATCAATAGCTACTTTGAATGTAAGTTGACTAAACTCTCCCATCAAAAGATAGAGTGGCCGAATGGTTAAAAAATAAGACCCATCTAAATGCTTGTGGTTACCATAAGGCTTACATATAACAACTTGTATTTATAGCAGTCTATTTTAAGTTGATAACAACTTAAGCTGGATCGCATTCTAAAGCTCTATATTTTTACGATCCTACCACGTTTTATGTATTTGATGTCACAATTTAATCTTTTTATCTTATGTATCCCTTAATTATTGTAATTATAATTATTTTTACTACCTTTGTCTCTTAACCTTCTACTAGCTTTGTAAGTGATTATTCCACTACCTTTTCTATATATTTACCTTTACCAGTGAGATTTATAGTTTCGGTTGTTTTCTTAATACTAATTAGCATCCTTTTGTTTCAGCTTAAAGAAGTCCCTTTAACATTTCTGGTAAGGCTGCTCTAGACATGATGAGCTCCTTTAGCTTTGCTTGTCTGGAAAACTCTTTCAGTTCTGAAGGTCAGCTTTGCCAGGAAGAGTATTCCTGGTGGAGACTTTTTTTCTTTCAATACTTTGAATATATCATGTTACTCCCTTCTGGCCTGCAAAGTTTCTGCTGAAAATTTTCTTGAGAGTCTTATTAGGGTTCCCTTGTATGTATGTAACAATTTTTTTTTCCTTTTAATATTCTTTTTGTCTTTAACTTTTGATACTTTTATACCTTGCTGTGGGTCACTTTGACTTTTTATTTGTAACTCTCTGATCTTCCTGGATCTGGATGTCAGGGTTACAGCCCCAGAGATTATGTTTTCATTGGTCTGGGTCACAGCCTGGTCAAGAGAGTTAAAAATTCTCCAGGGGATTTTAATGCATATTAAGGTGGAGAACCGCTGCTTTAAACCAACTCAGTCAGCAAGGGCTGACTGAGCCAAACTGCCCCATGGCAGAGCCAGCCCATTTTGGGCTAAGAGTGCCACACTCACCTGCAGTACTTGAGAGGGGTCCCCGAGAACTCACTGCCATCGGATTCAGGCTCAGATCGATTCTCAAAGTCAGAAATTCGAAACACGGACAAGCTGGCATTCACATAGCCAACCATGCACCTAAAAGAGAAAGCAAATTCTATAATTAAAACTCTGATCACCTCTGCATCTGATTCAGTAAAGGCTCTATTTCCTAGAATTCCTTACAGTTTTAAGTGCCTTTAGCTGGTCTTGCCTTGTTAGAAGCACTCAATTTAGGATATGAAAAACCCTGGGTTTGTTTAATCAGGAACAAGTTATTTCTTTTGTTCTAGTCCTTTTTGTGTGGAATCATCATACAGAAAATCACTACCCCAGTGAATGCTTCAGTGAAATAGGTGAAATACAGCATTGCATAACCAGCATAAATAATTGGTAAGTCACTGCATCTCTCACTGATTACATAGACACAGAGAGATGATACATATGCACATACAGACACCTTCATTAATGAATATCTATGCTGTCATAATGCTCTGAATATGACTGGTGTGAACATGGTGCCCCCTCTCCAACTCACATCCCACGGTGGTCTTAATACACAATATTCCATATTCCCGGAATGTATCATATGCTTCATGTCTCCGCACAGGATGTATTTTCTGTTAAGATTCCCTACTCATTTCTTTAAAAGTGAAAATAGTGTTCACCTTTCAATGGCCAACTGAAATGCCACACCTTCTGGGAAGATGTCCTAAACCTCCATTCAGAAGACTCATTTCCTTCTCTCTACAGTGCCACTGTACTAACTTCACAATTGCCAAACAGCTTGTACTAGAGTTGTCTGCATATATGTATGTATTGCCCTTTGGACTGCAGTTTTTTTTTTTTTTTTTGAAGCAGAGAAAGTGTCCTAGATATTTTTTGTATCTTAAGACCTAGAACAGTCTCTTCAGTGTAGTGAATTCAATTGCTTTGACTGGAGGAAAACTAAAGTACCAGAGATTCCATCAAGGTCTCGAGAATGGACCAGGAATAAAACTATTGCCTGGATCCCCAGGGATTATACGGTTCTTGAGAATGTGGATTTCATTCTATACCAAGGGTCAGTATATTACAATACTAAATGCTTAGGGCTTTGAGTTCAAATTGTAGGCCTGCTACTTCCTAGGCATGTAATCTTAGAATATTATTTAACTTCTTTAAGTGAGAAAAGTCCCCACATCATAGGGTCATTGTGGGGATTAAATGACATGATGTATACAAAGTAAGTGGTATAGTGTTTAGCCTAGAGCAAGATTGTAATACATGTGAGTGGCTTTTATTCATTTTATTTATTTCTGGCACCTAACAGAAGGCTGTTAATTACTGATCGAATGAATAAATTATAGTCTTCAGACTTTATTACCTGGTGTGATTATCCCAAGTTGCTGAACACCAAACCAAAATAATGACATGAACACAGTTCTAAGAGCACATGGGTTCTATATGTTGTCTTGCTCAAGACAAATCACTGGTTTTATCATGGCCTTAAAAAAAGTGGAAGGACCCATTTATCAAGTCACTTATGGGTGAAATAAATAGTGAGCGAGCATGTAACATGCCTTAACCCAACTGGCAGCAGGCCTGCCCTACTACTTGAAATGGTGATTTGGAATTATGTCTCCCTCATCTATGAACTGCCTAGAACATGACATGGAAACAAATTAGTGCCTTGATGATTATTAGCTGTCTCAGAGAGGGAGCCAGTTTTCGTGAAATACAAAAAGTAGCAGTCTTTTTAGGAGCAGTGGAAAGGGAAAGGTGCAAAAAACAGGCCCAGCATTGACATGAAAGAGTCACACCCCTCCTGCACTCTTTTCTCACCAAGTGGCCCTGAGCTTTATTGAGACTGAAGCTGCTATCTAATGGCTACTCTTCAAGCAGTTGAAAAAAATCTAAATTGAAATGAAATGCCTGTTTCATAGATGGAACATCCTACCCTCAAAATAAAGAGGATACATCTTTAAATGATTTATTAAGCATTTTCATATTATAAGTCCAAGTTGAATATGTCTCTTTAGTGGATGTATACTCCTGGATACAAAGCACTACACATGGACCAAGTACATACAGATATAGTTATCAGCTGTGAAGTCTTCTTTCCATTTAATTTCCATAATATGGAAGGAGTTAATACTGAACTGTCTAGGCATTGCTCTAATTCTTTTCACTAGAATGGAATTTTAGCTTACCAATATCAAATAGTTGAGATGGTCATCAATTTAAGAAAATTAGATTCCCCACATTTTGCCATGTGAAGTTCAGCCAAATGGCAATCATGTGTCAGCTCATGACCTACTATTGCAGCAATAGATCCCATGTCTATCACTCATTTTGCTGGCAGGAGATCCACATAGCGTCTCTGTGACACACCGTCACCCCCAAGTCTCATAAAGACAACACTACACTGATAATCAGGGAGAAGTGAGCGGTATGGAGGAAAAATATATCAGACAAAGGAAGAGTTTCCCATGAATAAAAAATAATGAAGTCAGTTTTCTTATGGGACTGGTAGATGGCCTCTGAAGGCATTTTCAAGAAAGGAGATGCAGAAAAGGTCTTATGTAAAGGTAGCATTGTTTGAATTAGGATACATATCTCTTCTAAGGAAGATCTTGGGAGAAGATCACATTTAAATGTGAGAATTCTGGTTTTACAATCATTACTTCCTAATCCTTTACTAAAGGCAGAAAAGGATAAACTAGTGATCATTATAATCAGTTTCAAGGCAAAGAACAGAACCAGAAGTTAACTTCTGAATTTACAGATTACAGATAAAACTCACTGTAGAGTGTCTTTGAATTTTGCTACTAAATTTTCCTCTGATGTTTTAGACATTGTGACTCAAACAGCATGGGGACAGGAATCAAAAGGTGAAAGAGCCAGGGGAAATAAGGTCAGCTTTATGCATTAAAGTCAAACATGCTTTATAGATAACAAATGACTATTTATAGATTAATTTATAGATACATTCATTTATAGGTGGTATATTAGGCTAATGAGGGCAGAAGAAAGTTGACTTCTGACTTGTTGCAATAAAAATGGCAGACATGAAAAAGGAAGATCTCTAAGAATAAGTTTTATTTTAAAAAATATAACTGCAAATTATTATGGTATTTAATTGCTTTGTAGTTTGTATAAATATTCATAGTTCATTAAGATATTTGTGGTTCATTCTGTGAAAACTTGAGCATTGTGTCCTTGATCAATTCTTTAACTCTTTATAATATCATTATCTTCAGGAAAATTAGTTTTAATTTATATCACTAAATCAGGTTTATACTTCATAATAATTCTAAAGCCTGCATATATCCTTAGAGAATGTTCCAAAACTTTAGCCCATGTCTACTTGATAACAGAGCGATTAGTTTACTGCATTCAGTGGGTGATGGTGGTGGTGAGGGAATCATACTGGTTATTTATTCTCTCTGGAAAAAATTTTCACTTGTTTAAATTTTTTTATTTTTCAATTATAGGCTACAAACAATATTTTATTAGTTTTACGTGTACAACATAGTGGTTAGACATTTATATAACTTCGAGTGATCACCCCAATATGTCTAGTACCCATCTGACACCATACATAGTTATTATTATTGACTAAATTCTCTTTGCCGTACTTTAGATCCTCATGACTATTTTTGTAACAGGAAATCTGTACATCTTAATTTCTTTCATCTTTTCTACCCATCCTCCCAATCCCCTCTCATCTTGTAATCATTAATTTGTTCTCTGTATCTATGACTTTGTTTCTGTTTTGTTTGTATTTTAGATTTCACATACGTGAAATCATATGGATTTGTTTTTCCTGACTTTTTTCACTTAGCATAATACCGTCTGGGTCCATCCATGTTGTCACAAATGGCAAGATTTCATTCTTTTTTATGGCTGAGTAATATTCCATTGTATATATGTACCACCTCTTTATACATTCATTTATTGATGGACACTTAGGTTGCTTCTATATCTTGGCTATTGTAAGTAATGTTACAATAAATATAGGAGTGCAGATATCTATTTGAATTAGTGTTTTGAATTTCTTTAGGTAAATACCCAAAGGTGGATTGCTGGGGCTTATGGTAGTTCTGTTGAATTGTTTGAGGAACCTCTAAACTGTTTTCCATAGTGGCTGCACCAATTTGCAATCCCATCAATAGTGCACGAGAATTCCTTTTTCTCCACAACCTCACCAACACCTGTTGTTTGTTGATTTATTGAAGATAGCCATCCTGACAGGTGTGAGGTGAAGTCTCATGTTTTAATTTGCATTTCCCTGATTAGTGCTATTGAGCATCTTTTCATAAGTCTATTGGCCATCTGTGTATCCTCTTTGGAGAAATGTCTATTCAGGTCCTCCGCCCATTTTTTTAAAAATCAGATTGTTTGTTCATTTATTTGTTTTTGGTGTTAAGATGTATGAGTTCCTTATAAATGTTAAATTTTGGATATTGGCTCCTTACTGAATGTATCACTGGTAAATATCGTCTCTCATTTGGTAGATGGTCTTTCCATTTTGTTGATGGTTTCCTTCCCTGTGCAAAACTCCAGTCTGATGTAATTGCATTTACATATATATTGATATGATCATATAATTTTTATCCTTCATTTTATGTAGTATATCACATTAATTGATTTGCAGATATTGAATCAGCCCTGCATACCAGAAATAAATTCCATTTGATTATGATATATGATCTTTTTAAGGTTTGCTGAATTTGGTTTGCTAATATTTCGTTGAAGATTTTTGCATCTATGTTCATCAGGTGTATTGACCTTTTTTTTTTTTTTTTTTGGTAATGTCTTTATCTGGTTTGGTATCAGGTAATGCTGGTCTTGTAGAGTAAGTTTGGGAGTCTTCTATTCATTTTTTTGTTATTGTTGTTGCAGTAGGTAGATATTAATTCTTCTTTGTCTAGGTCTAGGGCTTTTGGCTTTATTATTGAAATGATTTTGTTAATAGCTATTGGTTTATTCAGATTTTGTTTCTTCCTGATTCAGTCTTGGAAGATTGCATATTTCCAGAAATTTACCCATTTCTTCCATGTTGTCCAATTTGTTGGCACTAATTGTTCATAGTATTTCCTAATAATTCTTAGTTT